GCTCTCCACCTGATTTCCAGAATTTAAGTCCTGGATCTCTTCACAGGTATAAACAACTCTGACATATAATGCTCCTCCTTTCCTGTTTGGCCTATTTCTCTTAAAAATGTTATACCCCTCTATTCCTACATTCCAATCTTGAGGTTTCAGTGATGCCTATTATATTGTATTTGCTTTGTTGTGCTAGGATTTCAAGTTCATCTTGTTTATTTCCCATGCTCTGTACATTAGTGTAGAGACATCTAAGACCATGGGTCCTCCCCACCTGTTGCCTATGTGAGGTTTTTTGCCTCCCACTGTTGGGCCCTTGCATCATTTGCCTTGTTCCCTCTATAATACTTTGACTATTATCTCCAGCCCATGATGTACTCCTGCCTTTCAAGATACCTACCAAGATACTGTCTCCCTCCCCCACCTGACTCAGTTTAAATCCCTCCTGATCAAATGTTTGAGACTATTGGCAAAAATGTTTCTGCCAACTGGTGTGAGATGCAGCCCATCTCTTGCCAGACATCCACCCTCATGGAAACACAGAATCCAAATCATTCTTGGTGGCACCATCTACAGAGCCAGTTATTCACATCTGCTATTTTCCTTTCCTTTTTGGACCATGTCCTTCAACTGGGAGAAGGATGAGATAACAACCTGTACATCCAGATCTTTCAGCTTTCTACCCAAAGCCTCATAATCCCTTCTGATAGTCTGAAGGCTAGGCCTTGCAGTATCATTGGTTCCCACACAGACCAAGAGGAAGGGATAATGATCAGTAGGCATGACAAGTCTTGTCAGCCTGACTATCACATCACAGAGTTTTGCCCCAGGGAGACAACATACCTCCTGGGACATTTTGTCAGGCCCACAAACCACTGCTTCTGTACACCTCAAAAAGGAGTCCCCCACCACCACCACATGCCTCCTCTGAGGCCTAGCAGTGGCTGTTCCCTCCAGTGGTACTCTCAGGGTCTTCTGCACTGTCCCTGAGGACTGTCCCTGATGCTCCTCCTCTTCATCCTTGAGTAGAGGCACATTAGTTATCAGACACTACAAAAATGGAGAAGAGGGCGGAAGAGAGGCTGAAGTGGATCTGATTTCATTGTGCAATGGACAAAATCATATATTTCTTTCCACATTTGCTGTGCTATTTTCTGAAGGATAAGGAAAGGACAGTCATAGTAAATAGGACAAGATAGTTATTCATAGGATATATTTCCTTCATGCAGCTGTGCCATTTCTCCAAATCTGCTGGGATTGTGACACTAAGGCACTGAAGGAAGGGAGGAAGCAGAAAATAAAGCAACTTTCAAGACTCTTCTCTTACTTCCCAATTTCACAGAAGGAATACCATAAAGAAACTTTTTAATTTCTGCCCTCCCAAAGTATCTACCTTGTTGAATATTAAGGGAACTATAAAACCATCCATATTAGTAGCACATAAGAGGGCAACATGTTGTTGGACTGCAACTCTTAGCCTTCCCAACACCATGCGACCATGAACACCATCAATGTCATTTGATTTCAGAAGCTCTGTAGGACTGGGCTGGCACTCAAATAAGAGATCACCAAAGCATATCAGGTGTATCCAGGAAGCACTTGAAAATAATCCTGCTTGAACCACTGTCATTCAGAGTTGGTCAACTGGTCAAC